TGCCTTTATTCAGATCGCTACAGTGAGAGAGACAGGAAAGTCAGGGAGAGAGAGAGGGGATGACATGCTGGCCCACGGATCAGAGTGGAACCCGGGCTGTTGTGTGTAGGACTAAGCCTTTGTGGTACGTGCTCTACCAGGCGAGCCCCCCTGAAACTCTGAAAGTGAAACTGCTTTATTTAGTGTTTCTACTGGTTTGAATCCCCTGGTGTGTTTGTTGTGGAGAGGAGGAAACCTCTGTGGAACATTCAGCTGCTGGTAAAAACCTGCTGAACGTCTGAACAATCAAAAACAGGGAGAAGCTAGCGTAATGGTAAAGACAAAAACTCCCACAATCCCACGCTATTCCATGACGTAACCCAACGCGTCTTTTGTTATTGTTTTGACTGAGAGAGCCTTAGAGACAGAAGTTACAGACTGTGAGTTTAATGCTACAGTTTATAAGTTCTGGAAATCAAGAGAGAGACTCGAAAACAAACCACTCCACTCCGCTTAAAGACCAAGACAGGTCCGAGTCAAGTGTCATTCAGGACTAGTCAAAGCCAGTCTCAATCCAAGTCTGTAGTGCGACTCAAGTCAAGTCTTGAGATGGTCAAGACAAGTCCAAGTCAAGTCTGAAGTCTTGTTGAAGCATGTTTCAAATTAGGCTTCAAGGACTTTGACTATAACAATCATTTTTATTTTTTATATGTGTGTGTGTGTGTGTGTGTGTGTGTGTGTGTGTGTGCGTGTGTGTACACCTGTGGACTCACTTGGCCAGCTGCTTCTCTGCATCGGCACAGAGCTCCAGCAATCCCATGAGCACCGCTGACACGTCCATATACGGCTCCCAGACAGTGAAGCCTCGACCAATCAGATCGATGGCGGTGCGGCGGATGGTGCTGTGGGGGGGTAGCTTGGGGCTGGGGGGCTGCAGCAGCAGGAAGGTCAGTGCCTTACCTGTAAACAGTAGAAACAGTGGAGTCAGATTAGAGTAGAGTAAGGGGGGGGGGGTTTATCTAGAAAAAGCACGTTTTTAAATGATTTAATCATTCTTATTTTATCATTTCTCTGCAGGAGTGAATAAGATGTGATGTATTCAGATGAATTCAATCGTCCACCACAGTCCCAATTAAACATCGTCATGACTTTTGCTGGAATGCGACATTAATCTTATTTGTTGTGCCGGGATTAGCTAAATGATTCATTTGTATCTATAGTTCCAACACAACTACAAAAGACAAAAACAACAAATTAAAGCGGCAAGCAGCATTCATGCTGGCTCTCGCCATGTTGTGAACCTCAGGGCCACAGTCAGCAGGACACTTTTATGTTCCTGTATATCAAGTGTAAAAAGGATGATGAATATTTCTTGTAAATCAAATGATGATTGTCACTCAAGGGTTACTTCCTGTTTTCAGTAGTTGGCGCTATGATTATGACTTCAAATTAGCATCCAGATGTCTTCAGTGTGGAACTGTCATTAAACATGTGAAGTTTGGGGAAGATTGGACAATGTGTATTACAGTTATAACAATTTCCTGTTTCATGGAGAAACATGATTTAATTCCACTGCCTTTAAATTACATAAATGGTGCGCAAAAATTAAAAATATCTCATTTCCTGTTGTGTTTAGAGTATGGGTACATTCTTTTTTGTAGGTCTCGGCATGTTACGTGTTTTAGAGCATGTTTAAGCCCTCAAAAAGCATTTCATTTTTATGGACCAGGGATATACAAACAAATGAAATACAATAGGGTCCTTGCACCCTCGGTGCTGGGGACCTCAAAAAAGGAGCATACTCCTCCCTTGTCTCCATATCCTCTACACAATGAAGCATTTAAACAGATTATGGTCAAACCCCAATGACCACATCAGCTCCATGTGACTTCACTGTCACTGTAGAGTTTCAGCCCCGCCCCTCGGCAGCAACTTGGCTGCACCACGGGAATGATTTGAAAACAAAGGAATTTTCTATAAATGAAATCATACCTGCTTCTAAATAAAAATATGAAAATCTAATATTTAAAATGAGGTTTGGGAAAAATGATTCAACACACACACACACACATACACACAACGAGCAGGATGGGGGTCACTTCATAGCTGACCTGACATTTGAGCCAGTCTCTGTGGGGACGTACTGACCATTAAGACTCCAGAAAATATCCCCCATCCCTCAATAACATCCCCCCTCCCCACACACACCCACACACGCACCCACACCCACACACACACACACACACACACACACACACACACACACACACACACACACACACAACACACACACACACACACACACACACACCCCTTTTCCCACCAGGTGTCTGTCTGTCTGTCTCTCTCTGCAGGTCGCACCCACAGTAGCCTGAGGTCCAGAGCTTTTAGCAGATCCTTCACAATGTGCTACACAAAGATAAAGTCAGAGAAAAATCTAAACCCAGAGAGACAGATTAAAGATCTGGTATCTGGTCTTGTAGAACATTCAGAAATGTTAACAGAAAACAATACACGGTCACCTCTGTAGCTGTCATTTTCCTATTTAAAGGTGGTTTTCATACATTATTTATTCAAGAGCAGTGATATATGTGCAGAACTGGACTGTCAATGTGAAGTTAGATCTGTCAACAGTTCTATCAGAAAGCCTTTTCTCTGAGACTTTACATTAGCATCATGAAGGCTCTTATCTCCTACTGTCTGAATCCACTCAGAGATCAATACAGTTCATTGTATTTTCACTTTAAATGTAAATGCTAAACAGTCATAATATGAAGAAACGTATAATATAATACAGATCATTTACTTTAAGTATTTATAATACTGTGGTGGCTCTAAAGGTCCTCCAGTCTCCAGACACACAGAGATAATCTCATCATCTGGATCTTCTGGCATTTTATCATCAGCCCGCCTTAAATGGCAAACCCCCTTCCTTATTGGTTTATATCTACACACACACACAGCCTATGGATGGGGCTATGAAAGATATAGCTAGAGGCTAACTGTGTTAGCATCGCTGGGTACGACTGTTATAATATATAGCAGCAGTGACAGATAGAGCGTTAACTGTGTTAGCATTGTTGCGCTACGTCGAGTATAAGAGATGGACAGCAGTGCTAATGTTATTAGCTGTTATGGCTACTGGTAGAGAGACAAAGAGTCAAACATGCAGATCGGGTGTGTTGTTAGGATGTTGTGACTGAGTCAGTGATAGGGTGATGAACTTTGACCCTCAGCTAGTGATCAAAAGGTGGGTGAGCAAACACCAGTAAGAGTTCAAATCAATCATGTTTTTGTTTCATACATCAATATACATACAAACAGTGGACCATAAATATCAGCAGTGATGTAGGGTTGAATGAACTTTGACCTCCAGTTAATGATTATAACAAATCATCAAGACCACAGACATCAAATGCATCCTGAGTTACTTACATCAGTTTTATGCCATTTATTGTCAAATACATTGTGAGTTGGCATCATAAATATCCCATACTGTTGACTTTGTGATACTATTGGATGTTGTCTCAGTTTTCATTTTTATATTTGTTGTTTTTAATTACAACTGCATATAAAACACCCTTCATGTATGAGAATAGGGGGGTTGGGCAAAAGGTCATCAGTCAAATCCAAACCCACACAGTGAGCAGGAGAACACAGAATGGACTCAAGGGGTCAAAGTGGCAGTGTGTGTGTGTGTGTGTGTAATGAACCTGATGGGGTATAGTCCGACAGCCACATTTGCACTTAGAAGCCTCATTATAATTTTTTCTGGACAATTAAAGATGGCCGTTAACAATCGGTGCTCTAATTGGTTGGATCAAGATTCAAATTTACGACTCCTCCCCTCCCCTCTTAGTTAGTGAGTAGGAAGTGAGGGAGGCCTGGACTCGGGTCCATTTCTCACTGCGGACATCTTTGTTTAAAGGCCGGACGGGGCCAAATGAACCAATAGCTATTGACAAAGCATCAGTCTGCCATAATGAGCTGTTAGTTAGCGCAGTAAAGATGTCACATTAACACACAGAGGGTGATTAGAGCAGGTGGAGGAGGAGGAAGGAAGGGAGGAAGGAAGAAGGGAGGGAAGCTGAGAGTGTGAAATAGTGATAGATTGGTGACGTCTAAAGTTTACCAAGCCGAGTCAACCAATAACAGGCTCTCTACTTTCTGTCCCCATTCTTTTCTTCCCCCCTCGTTCTTTCTCTCTCTGTTTGAGCCTAAATGAAAGGTGAAGTTAAATCAATGTTCGGGACTTGGTTAGTGGATGAGAGCCGGATCAGACTGGATGCAGAGAGAGGGAGAGAGAAGGAAAAAGAACATTACAAAAAGAGGAAGAGAGAGAGAGAGAAAAAGAGTGAGAGAAGCTGTGCTATGTGTTCCATGTATATCTACATGATACGTTTGTAATGAGATGTAATATAATAGAAACAGTATTTGGTCAACAACCACAGCACCACCACTAACTGGCAACTAGCAGGATAGCTAATTAGGCTGGATGTTTAGCACTAGCATGTTCCTGGCTAACTATCATGTTGGCGGTTAGATAGACCTGCAGGTAGTTGCTATGTCACCATGAAACTTAATCCTCACTTAATGTCTGCTAATGTTAACTCCAAAATGTGGTAAATACTAAAATGTTTAAATGTTTCTCTCTCACTGTCCCTATCGTAATAAAGTTAAGAAATGCCCAAAAACGTTTATTCTGCTCATCAATAGTCATCACAAGAATTAGCTAAATAACTATCATTCAACCATTAGCTAAGTGTACAATTGGACTAAAATATAAATAATGCCAGAAGCTCAGCTAACTACATCCAAGCCAAAAGGTTTGCTAAACAAATGCTTCAATATTCAACTTAAACAAATAAATTATTACTACAAATATTTCAATTACATTTGAAAAAAAATTTACAATTTGTCCAGCGCTATTTAGAGAAACATTGTTAATCATTACTCAGATTGTTAGGTTCGTTTCTCACTGTGAGGTAATTGGTTACTTTAAAAAGATACAGTGCTGTGCAAAAGTTTAGGCACTTAAGATTCTTATTCTTATATCAGAACATGATCTCCGGTGCTCACTGGCACAGTTTGTAGCTGAGTTTGAAGTGGCCGAGATGAGAGCCAACACCTTCAAGTCTGAGGCCATGGTTCTCAGCCGGAAAAAGGTAGACTGCTCCCTCTGGGTTGGGGGTGAGTTGCCGCCCCAAGAGAAGGAGTCCAAGTATCTCAGGGTCATGTTTACGAGTGAGGGTAGGAGCAGGAGATTGACAGACCGATCGGTGCAGTGTCAGTAGTAATGGATGCTGCACTGGACTGTTGTTGTGAAGATGGAGCTGAGCCAGAAGGCAAAGCTCTCGATTTACCAGTCAATCTTTGTTCCAACCCCTCAGCCATGGTCTTGAGCTCTGGTTAGTGGCCGAAAGTAGGAGGTGGCTGATACAAGCGGTTGAGATGGGTTTCCTCTGTAGAGGGTCTGGGCTCAGCCTTAGAGACAGGGTGAGGAGCTCCGACATTTGGAGGGAGCTCGGAGAAGAGTTGCTGCTCCTTCATGTTGAAAGGAGCCAGCTGAGGTGTTTGGGGCATCTGTATGGGATGGCTCCTTCCATTGGAGGTTTTCCGGGCACGTCCAACTGGGAGGAGACCCCGGGGGTAGACCCAGAACTCGCAGAGTTGTTGGAGAGGGGGATATCTGGAACTTCCTGCTTAACCTGCTGACCCTACTCCGGGCACGCAGAAGAAAATGGACGGATGGATGGATTCTTTATTCATCAGGCAAGTATAAAAACTTCTCTGTGTGTTCTTGTGTTTACACTTGCTCTTTAAATTGATTTAAATAGGGAATAAAACTCAACTCTGAATGTGTTAAAATGCCACTGTTCAGTGACTGGGCTTCAAAAGGTACTTGAGGTATTCTGGCATTTACTGTGAGCATCATTGTCCTGTGATGGTGCACTGATGTACAGTTTGTCTCTGTTATCCTGTCCATCCACATCCTCCCTTCCCTCCGTCATCATCTGTCCTTCCTTCATTCCTTCCATCCTTAGGCTCAGTCTCTCCCTCCATCTCCCCTACATTTCCCCCCTTGCAATATGAAAACATCAATCTATACTCTGCTGTATAGACTACTGTACCCTCCCTCTCTCTGGGCGGACAGCTCTCATTCATCACACACTGCGCTATATGCCAACAATACCGATCCATCTTTCCATTTCATAATAGAGAGAGGAGAGGGGGGTAAATGGAGAGTGGAAGGAGGGAGAAAAACAACAAACTAAATGAGAGCAGGAAAAAGAACAGAGTGAAAGGAGGAGAAGGGAAGAGGGAGGAAGAGGGAGGGAGAATGTCCCACGCCACATGCTTTTTACAGTCATCTGTAACTGTCTATTTCAGCTTAAGCAATAACATGTTTTAAATGGTCCACTCTCTGAGGATGGTTAAAGGAGCGGGTGGCTCTGTGGGGTTTTTAAGGACCAGACCCGTCAGCTCAGTCAGCAGAGGCTGGGGCTGTGACGGTACGAAAAACTCACATTTCTGTACCACACCTAGGTTTTGGATTCACGGTTCAGTATGTTTTTGGTACAGTGAGAAAAAAAAAGACATTACATTCCTTTTAATTCATTAAGAATTTAACTTGTAAACATAAACATGTAATTATAAATGTGTAAACTTGAAAACAAAAAAAAAACAGACCTATGTCATCTAGACATTATTGATGGTGCTGCAATCTACAAAGACTTAAAATGCAACAGAAGATTATCAAATAAATAGGAAATAAATAATATAATTATAAAATAAAGATCTATTAAAGTGAAGCAAATATTTACACATTAACTCTACTTTCTTCTTTTTTTCAGAAAGATTAATGTATCCACATTGTCTGCAGAAAGAGCACATCTTTCTTTTTTGCTTTTATTCTGATAGCCACAGTGAGACAGGAAAGCCAGGGAGGGAGAGAGGGAGGGAGGGAGGGAGGGAGGGAGAGAGAGAGAGAGAGAGAGAGGGTGACATGTAGCTAACGGCCAAAAGTCGGACTCGAACACGAGCCGCTGTGGTCAGGACTGAGCCTTCATGGATCTACTGGGACAAACATTGTCTCTTGCAGTTGATGCAGTGGTGGTGCGCGGTACACTAGGCCTGATCCAGATTCCTCAACCAGGAAGTAAGAGTAGATGTGTTTACAGCCCTGTTTTTTGAATTTCTTTCACTTTGTATGTGTGAAAACCATGTTAAGCAAAATATGAATCATAGCAGGAGGATTTGTACAGAGTTTAAAACATGTCTGGAGAGGAACTTTAAGATGACATTAAGCACTGATGACATTGAGAAGTTTCATTTATTCAATGAAATAAATTATTCAAAAAAAGGTTGGGTATCGTACAACCTGCGGCATCACAATGATACACAGCCTGAGGAAGATTTTAAACAGGTGGAGCACAAGAGGATCAATTAAATCTTGAGTTTGTTTTCATCTGATGACATAGGCATGGGGTTTCTCTATGTGTGTGTGTGTGAGTGTGAGTCCACACAGGTGAGCTGACTGCTGTGTACAGGTCCAACTAAGCAGCATCATGCTCCACAGCCTATCAGTGAGGGTACAGGCTCTGTCGCTGGGCGGATGCCCCCGGAGGCAGCCAATCAGAGCTCAGGAGCAGCGGGATGGAAGAACAGCTCTGCTTAGTGCAGGTTTGATGCTCACCAAGGTCCAACGCTGCAGGCACGGTATGGCACAGGCCAGGCTCAGTGAGTGTGTGTGAGTGTATGGTGTGTGTGTTGAAGTCAGTGCCAAGCTCCTTAAGGTGTCAAGCTTGGTGGGTGAAAATCAATTCCATCTCTCCCTTCACCTCTAATCCAAGACTGAAGTTTCTAGTTTTGTCAGTTGTGTAGTTCTGAGTTTGGAAAAACCACGATGATTCAGGACCAAAACATGAGCCACTGAACACATCAGTGTCTGTCTGAATGAGAGGCCACACATACATGCAAGTATACACGGTCAGGGTTTTTCCTGGATGAAAATTAGGTGGGGGTGGTACTCAGCCGTACAACCAGGGGTGGGGGGGGTCGCCGCAATATTTATATTTTCATTATCATTATCTCTCCAACCACTGCGGGTCAAAGCCACTCACTCTATGCTTTAGAGAACATCTGGGAAGATGAATAAAAAGTGATGTCAAAATCATGTAAACGTCGGCTTTAATACACTCGTTAATACACTCCTAAAGACTTGGTACTCTCGCCCTGACTCCTCCCTCGTGCTCTGATCCTCACCTCCACCGGCACCTTCCACTAGGCCTACTGTCAGTCCTGACACATTAACCATATCTCATCAGTAACATGAATTAACATTTTTCCAGTATTAGAACTAAAGATGTCTGCACTATTTCACCTGTCCTCATGATTCTCCTCCTTGCGAACTCTTTTTAATATAATCTGTGATTTGAGATATTTCCGCGATGTAACGTTAATTAAGGGAAACTTTTCAGGAAGCTGCGTGTGCTTGGGTGTAAAAGAGATAATATTCACTTGTTTGGTCGCCGTATTCTTCTTCTTTGGCAATTTCGGGCAGCTCTGCCTGACGCACGGATTACGATACAGCGCCATAGTGGCGTACAGCCGCAATTGCAGTTACAAAAGTCAAATCTGCCGTGAACCGAGAAAAGAAGTAGGCCTACTAGAATGTTGTCGGGAGGTCGAGGCGGCACAAAATTTGACCTGATGGTATGACATTTCAGGTTTGAAAACTTTAACATGAACGTCCTTTTTGGACGTCAGGAACTTAACAAGACCTAACATGTATCCATGGTCACAGGCTCTTCAGGGATGGGTTCCAGGAACTAAGTCTGGGCTGTGCTCAGGCGGCGATACTAAACTAATTTTCAACAGCTCTGTCAATCATGACTGGTAAGATTACAACAACAATAACCACTATTTCACAACTGCATCTGTGTGGATGCGAACAACCACTACTTTAACAAAGGTAAGAGTCTACACCCATGTTGGCAGCTGAGGTCGACCAGTAGTGCTTAGAGCTAAATGCTAACATTAGCATGCCGTTCAGTACAGTTCAGGCCGATGAGAATGTCATTAGTTTTCCAAGTATTCGGTCATAAATCTAAGTTATTAGAATTCATTTGCTGGGGATCTTAAATGTCTGAATGAAAAATCAAGTCAATCTATCCGGGGAGGTATTCAAGAGCGGGAGGGTTCTCAGAGTCTGGTAAAAATGATGATACAGCATGCAGCCAAACAGTGCAGGAAAAATATAAAAGGGTGAAAAAGATTATAGAAAAATAAAAGGCCATAAAGAAAGAAAATCAATATCAATACCAGCGTCACTTATGCTATTGTTGTCTGTTCACCGTCTTCACTCGTTTTTGAAAGAGCAGTGTCACCGTATTAATTACATGTATCCAGAACGTCAGTTTATAAAATACATTAGGAACACAAGAACCTGTTTTGTCCAAGTAGCCAGGTCCAACTGAGCCCATAGCTCCATTTTAAAGCCCAGCAAGTTCCATTTAAGCTGAACTCCTAATATTTACTAAGTCACCAAAATAATCCAAATAACAAAAATCACTTTGGTCAAATTCTAAAAAACTAGAAGAAAAAATGATACATTTTATTTTAATAAATAGATTTTAAATTGCAAAATGTTTATGAACAACAGAATTGTGTAATATGAATCCCATCAAGCTATTACATGGACATTTGCGCATTTCTTACATTTCTGCATTGCCACAGTGTGTGTCATCTCTGCATTCTTCAGTAAGTGTGTGTGTGTGTTGTCTGTACTTACATGTATGTCTGGCCAGTGAGTAGTTGGATGACCCTCCGCTCGTCAGGCCAAAGCCTTCGGGTGCCTGTCCACCGGTTCGAGCCCGTGCTGAACCCTTTGGTGGCTCGATCTCAGCGCCGAACTCGGCCCCAATGACCCCCAGCAGCACGATGGCTGTGGCCTGCTTACGGCGCTCCTCGTATGAATTGGAGATCTTCTTGGCATTTGGTGGAAGGTTGGACAGACACCCTGGTAGAGAGACAAAGATATTAACACCAGCTTGTTCTTGTGGTCCCTGTTGATTTAGCAGTGTCCATTCTAGCCTTCAGTCATGAAATTCCATACTTAGTTTGTGAGTTAGTCCCTTACTTATTTATTATTTTTAAATGTTGATGGCATAATGTAGTGGCAATGGAATAATCCACATTTAGACTGGTTACCTATAAGCCTCGCTTTCACTATGCAGTTCTACCTCTGGAAAAATGAAGTCTTGATAAACAGAACAAAGAAAGTGCGCCTGCCACTGCACAACCACAATAGAAAGCTCGGTAGCTATCAGTAGCCTTTTCTGGGTAGAAGAAACGGCAGTCAGTGGAACAACTAGAATACCTGTGGAAACTCAAACAGGCATCAACTGGATGCAGAGAGCCAAGTTCAGATTGGGACAGAAATTCAGCCCTGGACTTATCTCCTGAAACCGATTTCTTTACTGTCTTATGTCAGTAGTCCCTATGGCCAGGCCGACTATGGAGAGAGGTCCGGGACTTCAAAACCGACATTCACTCTGCCTCATTTCTACCGGAGTCTGGAAGTAAAAAAACCTGCATACTACATACAACCAGAACTACCATGTAATTCAAATTGGGATTTTTACGGTTGTTTCTTGCTTTGGGCAGTAGCCAGGCTGATGGTAGTTGCCATGTTGTTTGTACATTGCTTTTGCACTCTGAGCACTTAGCGTTTTTAGACACTCGGAGCGCCTCCTATATTTTGCAGAGGTGCTCTGTACTGCTCAAGTTGAAAAAAGTTTAACTTAGAGCAGAAAAAACACCAGACTTCATCTGTTTTTCCCATTGTGCAATCTGATGAACTGAGAGGTGGGCCTTCGCTTGGGAACAATTATCATGGATGAGAACGTAGTGACGGCTGTTGCTAGATACCTTGTTGCCCAGCAACAATAAAAAGAAAAAAAACAAAAAAAAAACACACCGCACTGCTCATTTTTCAAACTGTGGCCTTTTTAGATGGTACCTTAGAAATCTTCCACAAGTGCCTCTGCATTTGAAATGCCGAAAAAAAAAAAAAAAAAAGTATGTCACAACATTTTCATTTGCCTTGTTTCTCTAATTTTCCTCCTGCAAATATCAGGCATCACTGAATGTAAAAAACACAATCGACCTGCTCCATCTGACGTCTGTCGTATGACAACGGAACATAATTAAAATACAAACTTGCTCGAGAGGAAATCAGACCCATAAATGCTTCTTTCAACACACTTCACTGGTTTCAGTGACTTATTTTTGATTTAAAGATACTGTACGTCTGTTTATTTCCTTCTTCTGACACTCAGAGATGTTTGAGCTGGGACCAGAGAGTGTGGGGGATCTTTCTTTTTCTTTTCTTTCTCTGTCTTCCTTTTCATGCTGAAAGGTGGTTAAAAAAAACAGCAGGCCTGTGAGTCTCCAGTGAGCTGATAACAACTGAACAGGCACACTTCTATTGTCCTGGTATTAGCCATTACTTACACACACACACACACACACACACACACACACAGGCACACAGGCACACGTCTCATTGTCCTGCTGAAAGCCTTTAGTCACAGTGCAAAATCACATGCACTCACAGATGGACACCATGACACACACACACACACACACACACACACACACACACACACACACACACACAGGGCCTCTGGAAGGATTTTGGACATGTGCGTATATGTGTGTGTGTGGGCGTGTCCTTCAATTGTGCTCCCCAAGACGACCCCAAAATAACCTCTTTTGTGTGTGCGCGTGTAACAGGGTCTGCACAGTAGGGAAGTGCAGCAGCTCTGAGAGGGATACATGAGTGTGTGTGTGACAGAAGAGTGTGTGTGTCTGCAAAGAATCACCGTAGGAGATGAGGGCTTCTTACTCACCTTGGATCAAAGGCCCACATAAAAAATGTGTGTATATGCAGCAACCAAACACGAACGAACGAACGAACGAACGAACGAACGAGGGACGAACACATAGAGATTTGCGTGGTTAGTATCTCACCACACACACACACACACACACACACACACACACACACACACAACACACACACACACACACACACACACACACACACACACACACACACACACACACACACACACACAACACACACACACACACACACACACACACACACACACACACACACATATCTCCCAGTTACGGTCGACCCTCTGATTTTATTTCTTATTTTCTCTCTCTCTGGATGAGTGAGCACAGCATTGTTATGGATTTGTATTGCAGGGGAACAAGCACTAGCTCCCTACACACACCAGGACACACACACACACACACACACACACACACACACACACAGACACAGACACACACACGCGCAGTGTCTTTGAGGAAGAAGGGGAGAGCAAGCACACTGGGTGTGATGAATAGAATAGAGGGGGGGCACTGCTGTGACATCTTGTAGATCTTCATGCAGTTTTCTATTCACATAAGCTGGATTTGTTAACATCATATGATCCATGATGAGGGGAGTGATTACTGAAAACTCAAGAATCACAGCTCAGAGGATGAGAAGAGACGCTGGTAACAGCAGACAGATTCTCAGGATGTCTGGTGTGAGCGGCTCTCTGACCTCAGTCCACAGCATCTCCACTGGGTTCAGATCCGCTCTCTGACTGGACCCCTCCAGAAGGTGGACTTTCTTTTGTTTGAAGTCAGTCTGTAGTGGATTTACCTCCATGTTTATGGTCATTGTCCAGCTGCACCAGCAGCTTCTACTGAGCTTCAGCTCGACATTATCCTGTGAGACACATTGATAAAATACATTTTCCTCTCCATGATAAGGAGCTGTCCATGTCCAGAGGCAGCAAATCAGCCCCAAACCATGATGCTCCCTCCACTGGACTTCACTGTTGGATGATGTTTTCATGTTGGTCTGCAGTGACCTTTTTTACACCAGACACCGTGCTGCATGTTCCTCTCTGTTGACCAGCTGCAACGATTCCTTAAAGCCTTTAGCTGTTACTCTGGCCTTCTCTTTTACCGCACTGTGCTGTAGCCTCCTCTGGGGAGAGTAGCCACAGAGCTAACTTGTCTCCACTTATAGACAGTTTGTTTAACTGTAGGACCGATGTAGATCTAAACTCTTATCTGACTCTCTAACACTTTCACTAACTCTCTAACTGATTTCATTGAAAGGACTCCAGGTTCACACACTCCAGGCTTCAGTCTGTTAATGCCATCAGCTGAGGGCTTCACATACATTTCCAGCCTTATGTGTTTTTAGTTCAAGCAGATTTGTTCATTATTGTAAGTTAGATGACAAATTAGAGGATATATACATATGTATAGCCTGACACCTCTTTCCCAGACTTTTGGACACAACTATATATAAATATACGTATAATAGAACTTTTTCTTAAAGGTGAAAGAGCTCTTTCTCTTTCTGCTTCTCCTCTCTTTTTTATAACTTCATATTTTACAGTGATTACATGGACTCCACAGGTTGTTGCATTACACCATCCTGTCCTTTATAACAGATTCCTTCCTTGATGGATAATGTCATTTCAGTCAGAAAGCCTTTTTATCCCGATTCATTTCTGGTTTTTAAGAAGATTCGGCCGAGCTGGAAGTCCTCTGTGATCCCTTCAAGGTGTGGTTCACAGCAGCAGATGTTTCTCGTGAACAGCACACTCAAAATGTTGTGGAGAAATTGTCTCTAACCAACAGCTCCAGTCTGGTTTCACTGATTGGACTCCAGGTTTCATTGGCCGAAGGGTTCACATACTTTTTCCAGCCTAAACTGTGAATGTTTGAATGATGTTTTCAATATTTACGTTATTAGATACTTTGTGAGGAAGCACATTAGGAGAAGAATTTTAACCCCACCACTGGATTGTTTCACAGATGTGTCATGTGACCCGATGATCTACACATTCATCCATTTAACAAACGTTCTGCTGGACTTCTAAATTCAATCCAGGATTGTAGTTGCAGGATGTTTTCCTACAGAGCTGCTAGTTATCATGAGCAGAGCAAAAGAAAAGACAAACTGGAGGAAAGGAAGAATATGTCACAGCCTTGCCCACAAGGCTTGATTGACAGTTCCTCTCTAAAAAAAAAACCAGTGAAGATACACCTGAGCAACAAGGATGGAAGAATTAAAAAAGTAGATCTTCAGGAGTATGGCCATAGAAATGTATAAGTCTTATAGTGAGAGAGGACTTTCAAGAAAAAATAAATGTTTGTTCCTCAGTCCATTTTTCAGACCTCAGGAGCCCCCTCCCCCCATATTTCCATACTATATCCTGGTGCTCTTTATAATGAGATTGCTAAAGGCCAGCTGTCATTTGGAAGAAGGCCCAGCGGCCAACTCTGATAAATGGATTACAGATGGCATCCATCCCCCGGGCCAGACTGGGCCAGTAGATAACAGAATTAGAGATAGACTCCCAACCAGAATTACTAAAAAGTTGAGATTTAGAGAAAAAGAGAAAGTAAAGAGAGGGAGAGACAGACGGACTCGGACAGACAGACGGGGTATCTGCAGGTTAGGTGGTATACAAACCTAGTTTTTGGAGACAGAGGTGGGTAGTACAGCTACGTGTCCACGCTTCGGATCTGACAGAGCGGAGTGGAGAGCAAGTGTATAACGTGCGACGCGAGTATGTGTATGTGTTGGTGTCTTCGCTACCTATAATCAATGAACAGTGATTGGTGAGTGGACTATTCTGTCACACCTTTCCAACACCTGATTGGGTCGGTATCACTTGCTGCGCTGTCACTGGTCTTTGCTTCTGATATTCAAACTGGAATAAAAATGGCTGCACTTGTAAAAAGTATATTCTCTGATTTTTTTTCCTCAAACATCTAAAAACAGTGAATCTGAGGTGGGAGTCAGTCAGTGCAGCTGCAGAAATATTTGGCTTTATATTTTTAACACCTAATTTAGATAGTTGCTGGAGAGAGATAAGAGTCAGGAGACTGAACAGGTGGTGTCATCACGTTAACGCTGACTGAGTGGTC